GGATAGGTAGGTAGGTAGAGATATAGATAGAGGTTTGGGTAAAAATATACTAGTTTGGGGGACTATATCAAACCTAAAAACTTTTGTGCATCAGAGCAAACAACTGAGTTTCAACTGCAACCACTGAAATGGGAGAAATTATTGCAAATCATATATTTGATAAGGGTTCATATCTAGAATATATAAAGGACTCCTACAACTCAATAATAATAATTTTAAAAAACTGAAAAATGAACAAAGGACTTGCAAAGACATTTATTCAGAGACAATTTAGAGATAACCAATAAGCATATGAAAAGATATTCAACGTCACTAATCATTAGAGAAATGTAAATCAAAACCACCATGCCATGCCATTTCACATCCATTAAGGTGGCTACTGTCCAGAGAACAGAAAATAAGAAGGGTTGATGAAAATGTAGAGAAATTGGAATCCTTGTGCACTGTTGGTAGGAATGTAAAATGATCCAGCCTCTTAGTAAAACAGTATGGAGTGTTCATAAAAAAACTCAAAATGTGCCCAGGAGTGGGATTGCTGGGTTATATGGTAAGTCTATTTTTAGTATTTTTGTAAGGAATTTCCATACTGTTTTCTATAATTGCTACACCAAACTACATTCCCACCAATCGTATAAGAGGATTCCTTTTTCTCCACACCCTCTCCAGCATTTATCATTTGTGGACTTTTTAATGATGGCCATTCTTACTGCTGTAGGTGATACCTCACTGTTGTTTTGATTTACATTTCTCTGATCATTAGCAATATTGAGCATCTTTTCCCTATGAGCAAGCAGTGCCACTCCTGGGCATATATCTAGAGGGAACTCTAATTTGAAAAGATACATGCACCCCAATGCTCATAGCAGCACTGTTTATACTGGCCAAGACATGGAAACAACGTAAATGTCCATCAACAGATTACTATAAAGAAGTTATGGTATATATACAATGGAATACCATTTAGCCTTAAAAAAGAATAAAATAATGCCATTTGTTGCAACATGGATGCACCTGGAGATTGTCATTCTAAGTGAAGTAAGACTGGAAGAGATAGAAAAATACCATATGATATCACTTATATGTGAAATTAAAAAAAAAAGACACAGATGAACTTATTTACAAAAGAGAAACAGACTCACAGACATAGAAAACAAACTTAAGGTTACCAGGGGGAAGAGGGTGGGAGGGGATAGATTGGGAGATTGAGATTTGCAGATACTAACTACTGTGTATAAAATAGATAACCATGTTTACATGGGAACTATATACAATATCTTGTAGTAACCTATAATGAAAAAGAATATGGAAAGGAATATATGTATGTATCTATGACTGAAACATTATGCTGTACACCAGAAATTGATGCAACATTGTAAACTGACTATACTTATGATTACCACATGACCCAGCAATCCCACTTCTGGGTATATATTCCAAATACTTGAAAGCAAGATATCAAAGAAATACTCCTCCACCGAAGTTTATTGTGATATTATTTATAATAGCCAAGAGATGGAAATAACCCAAATGTTCATCAATGGGTAAATGAACAAACAAAATATGGTTTGTATATACAATGGAAAGTTATTCAGCCTTAAAAAAGAAAGAAATCTAGTCACATGCCACAACATGGATAAACCTTGAAGACATCATGCTAAGTGAAATAATTCAGTCACAGAAAGACACATAGCATGTGAGTCCACTTTTATGAAGTATGTACGTTGTCAAACTCATAGAAAGTAGAATGGTGGTTTCAGGGATGAGGGAAAGGAGAAATGGGGAATTTGGCTCAGTGGGTATTGAGTTTCAGTTCTGTAAGATGAAAAAGTTCTGGAGATCTGTTGCACAACTGTTGCTGTACATAACAATACTGAGTTGTACACTTTAAAAAAGGGTAAGATGGTAAATTTCATGTTGCATTTTTTTTACCAAAATTAAAAATGATTTTAAGAATGCTGGTTTAAATACAAATGTTTAAATCTAGGATATTTGGCATTATATGATGTAGTGGTTCAGTTCAAATTATTATTCAAGAAAGGCTTTGCAATAGAAATATTGCTAAAAGAGCAAACTTTTACTCGGATAGACCTTTGTTCAAATCCATGCTTTGCTACTGGCTGACTATATGACCTGAAGCAGTAGTTTGAGTTCTCTCAGCATCAGTTTCATCACAAGCTAATTTGGATTAAAAATAATGTCTACCTGTAGAAGCTTGAAATGAAATGCATTGAGTTTAGCATGTAGTAAGCATTCAAAAAAAAGTTGTTTATTATTATCATTCTTATTGAAGGTTCCATTTAAAAAATAAATATTTATAACTTCTACTGCAAGTTCAAAGCTTCTTTGTTAGAACAGGCATCTATGACTTTTCATTTCAATTTATATTTGGAAGATAGGCAGGCTTTACTTTTTTTTCCTACTATTTTTGAAAGGGCATTCAGACATGAAATGCTTGATTATTTACTTGAATCAGGATTGAAACACTTGGTTAGTTGAAGGCAATTCTGGGAATGAGAAGAAGGGCCCCTCTCTGAATGACTGGAGCTGGATTTCTGAATTGCGTCTTTCAAAAATAATGGGGTTCTTTGCCCATTTTCCATTAATTTACATTTTTCATAGAAAATTGCCTTGGATCAGATACCTTTTAAGTAACATCTTTTGTTTTTTTTTTTCATTACTTTAAAAAAGTGCAGCCATAACTAATCTTAATCTTTCTCACTCCCATAACTAATCTTAATCTTTCTCACTCTCCCTATGTCTTTTCTGTTGCACATTTGATTCTTTCTTTCCTTATTTATTTTCCTATCATGTTTACCATTTTTATAGCCTTTGTTTTTTTGAGATTCCATTTCTTACTTTTCAAGTGTTATAAATATACTGTTAGGAATTTTTGCTTTATTTTGCTGTTCACTTTCTCACAAGCACTGTGTTCTTTGCTTTGTAAGAGTTTTCTTACTTAATTATGATTCTGTTGTGTGGTGAGTGGTATTGTTTTCTACTTTACACAGATGAGAGAACAGAGGCACAGAGCAATTACATAACTTGCCCAAGTTCCCGCCTATTAAGTGTGAGGAATGGGATGTGGACCCAGGCGGTTTAATTCCAGAGCTCAAGCTCCCCATTGCTACAGAAATATCAGCTCATTTTCTTGGAGAGACACTTTCAAAGGCTGCCTTTTTTCCCTTTTCCTTTATCCTCTGTATGTTTTACATTCTTGCACATTTCTTTTAGGAATTTTCTTCTTCCCTTCAAGCTGTAGATTAACATTTTAGAAAACACTGCTTTCCCTCTCCTGTGTCTTTCATACTGCATCTCTGTCCTTCCAGGTCACTAGCTCACTGCTAGGATGTCCTCAGGCTCTGAACATTTGCCCTGTAACATTCAGTTGCTGACTCAGTTCTTTTACTTTTGACTTCCAAGTAGTCTGAGCATTTTAAATGTTATTTTCCTTTAAGTCAGTTCCAAGATGATGCTTGCCTCTGCTAAGTGTATTTACTCTAAGCTACTGGAACCTTCTGTTCTGCAGATTGCTCCTTGGTGCATTTGGAAAGAAATTGCCAAGTCTCTTTTTTGTGCATATGCTCATTTTTCAGTTCCTGGAGACTGGACAGAATTTCCAACTCTTTTTCTACATTTTCCTTCTTCAAGTTTCGCCTCACTCTCCCAGGATACCTCTCCTATATTGTTTTCTCTCCAGCCCACTTCACTTCAGAATACCCTGTTGTTCCGAATGCTTGAATCTACCGGAACCTTCTACTGTCTTTGTTATTGTGGCATGAGTTGTATTTTAATCAACTAGGATATGTCATTCTGTGAAAACAAATGGCTACACATTCTGGAAACTTTAGTAACTAAATTTTTTTAATCATTTTTCACCTGATCTACGTCATCTGCTTCTTTCATTTTTCTTATAAGAATTGTGCCTTAATGATTCCCAAGAAGCTCATGATAAGGATGTGGCTTTACATAATAATCATTTTACATGAACTCTAAGTACTTATTGACGCTGTGAGTGAAGACACAAGTCACTTAAGAAATCCAGTGCAGCGGGAAGATGACAGGCATGCAGTCAGAAAGAAGATGCCAGTCTTTGCTCTTGGTGGTTCTTGTTGTCCACCTGACCTTAGGTTCTGTGCTATCTCCTCTTATTCTCAGCTTTGTTACTTGTAAAGTGGAGGATTAATGATACCTTACTCCAAAGGTGAGGCTCAAATGAGACAAAAACCCCACATGTGTTTTACAAATTGGAAATAGCTACACAGCAGGTCCAGATTATTATTATATTGACTGTCAAAGCATAGAGATGGAAGTTTGTCAAGTGCATAAAATATTTAGTGAAAATGAATGGAAAATATGACTTGAATGGTATAAGAATTTCATTTATTTGGTTTTCTACTGAGCATCAGGAGTTTTCTTAAAATACTGAAATCTGCACTTTGGGTTTTACTTAATAAAAGAAAGTTTCTGAGTAGGCCTGTGAATATTTGAGCATGTGAGTTTGGGTTGGTAACAGGTTTTGCTGACCCAAATATTGTCATCCAAAAATAATACCTGTGTGGGTAGTTCTGTTTCTTTCTATGATAGGGTGGCTTTTCCAGTGTGATTCATAGGCAAAACAGATGGCCCACAAGGACGTTCAGCAACATGGTTATTATGGAAGAAGTTCTACCTGGGAACCCCTTGCTTCCTTCTGTGAGGAGTCATCTCACTCCCACAGGAATGGTGATTTCAAGGTTTTATCTACCCACATGTCCAATTATATACCAGATTGCAAGCCAACACAAAGAATCGCTGAAAACAATGTTAAAAGGATGACTTATCCCATTTTATGCCCCTATGAAAACTGCTGAATTATGACACCATTTCAAGCCATTAATTAATGAAGACCTCCGTATGAACAAAACATGGAGGATAAAGCTAAAATTTTCAGTTCTTTTGAAAACTGAGCTTGTTAACATGATTCCAATTTATTTTATTCTGTTGATTGCTTTGTCTTTTAGAGTCGTGGTCATCATCTGAGTGGTGAAGTTGCTTGTATCCTATACATACAGACAGATAACAGCTGTTTCCCAGGACGGAGCCTCACTCCATACCAGGTGAAGGGATTTTTTGCTTGTGTGTTTATACTTCCCTTCCTAATTTTAGGATTGCCTTCTTTTCTGCCTTATTGCAATCATTATCTGAAACCTCTCCCCTTGGTGCCAGGTTGAAGAATAATATCTTTTCTCCGTATTATTTATGTCCTTTGCCTGTTTGTAGATAGCTAAGTTGCCCATCAACTTGTTGCTCTGCCACGATGTACTCATTTAATGCTTTCATCTTTTATTATTAATCATTTTTCTCTGCATCTTATTCATTCTTCCATCTTGTCTCTGAACTCCTTCCAACTTCTCTGCACCTTTTGGATAATGAGGTGCCTGGATCCGAACACCAGGTGCAGTCCCATCAGTCCTGTCAAGGAGGGTCCCACTGCCTCCAGGCCTCTGTGATGCCTTCTTGTTCCCTGAGGTGCTCACTAGAGAGATGATGCCTGTCTCTACAGGCAGAGTCAAGCACGACTCCATCTCCCCCCTTCTCCAGCAAATCCCTTCTGGCTCATTCTTCTTCCAGAGAGAAAGACCCAGAGTTTCTCTCCCTCTCTCTCACATTCTTGCTCTCTGTCTCTCACTGTAGTTCTGTCCCTGTTGTTCTTTGTTTGTAGTTTACTCATCCTGCCTGACTCATGACCTAATTGATCTGTTTGTTTCCTGTTTCTCTCTTTTTCTTGATCTAACTGAACGCCCTCCCAGTTCCGTAACTTTATACTTGGTGCGGATGGCAATCTCTGCCACTCTGACTTGCACGCACATCCATCTCTCAACCATACTGATGTCTTTCCACCTCCAAGGAAAATGATGCTTTTATTCTCTTACGTTTATCTAATATCTTGATCTCCAAAATATATAAGCAGCTCATACGACTCAATAAGAAAAAAATAAACAACCCAATCCAAAAATGGGCAGAAGACCTAAATAAGCAATTCTCCAA